GAAATACAGTATATATATAAACTAGATTTTGTACACAGTCCTTTAGCTAGTTCTACTTCTTTTATACCTGTTTTCTGGTCAAATCTACGTACAGGTACAGCTTCCCATATTTTCAGTAATGTTCTATATTTCAATCTCAGAATAAATGATTGTAAAACGACTTGGTAACCATCCAAGTAATGGCAAACAGATTGATCACTTGGATCTTTGTAGCTGTATAAGGTTAATGAGCACCGTAATTAAATACTGAGCGCTTTTCTGCTTATAAAGATAAGATCTTGCAACAATRGTACCATTTATTTGCATGTGTAAGAGTAACCAAGTTTTGACAGTTGTCAATGCTGATGCATTGCCATTGTGTCTGAATAGCACTTCAAGCTTCCTCTCGTTGAGACCTCTGAAAAAAGATGCTTCTCTTCTCTTCTTTCAGCACACTTTAATTACGCCTTTCAGTAAGAGACACGTCGTATCTGCTACAGGCCGCCACTGCTTCCCATTTATGCATATTAATAAGCATTAATTACACTCTTAATGAAACTATCAAAAACTGCCGTGCAATTGATGTGTGGGCGCTCTCTCTCGAGGAGCAGAGAGGAGGGCTGTTGGTCCTTTGAAGATCAATGTAGAAGAAATCCAATTAGGCTAAAGAAAGGAGGAGAATCTGAAGCGCTCGCCTTTAATGTCCATCTTTGCTTGCACAGCGATACAAATAAACAAGCTAAAAAAACAGATGCATAAACATGCACGCAAGGAACATAATAGATATGTCAGCACACGCATATACACCCACAGACTTCATTCATTAGGYACAAACACTGTTGTTCCTTACTTAACAAGCTTGTAATTGCAGAACATTCTTGGTACATTATGTAGGTGTAAAGTCAGTAAACAAATCTAAATCATCTTATTTTGTATTRTCGGAATAAAGACTGTTTTTAGAACAAAAAAGGCATTGCAGTAACTTAATACTCTAAGGGTTTTCCAGGTCATCCTATATTTAACCTYTCACTTCCTTATCAGATAAATGCTGGGCTTTTGACAAGTTGTAGAATGAATTGTGTTGCATGCCTGCAATCAAGCTGACATGAAATTTGTTGACACTGGCAACATGTAAAAGGGGAAACAAAGAAGACCATCTGCTGGCCTTTTTGTCTAGTGTTTGGCCTTTCAGTAGCACCTGGGCCAGTGTGCACATCGACTCTGTGGTCTGAGGCTAACAGTATAGAGACCCAACCAAATACCAAAGGAAATGAAGAATCAATGCATAAAAAACAGTGCATGTATAAATGCTTCTATAATAGACACACAGTTACATGAACTATTCTGGTTCACTTTTTGGTCACATCTCATCTAGATTATTCCAACTCCCTTCTTTTTGGTTTACCCACAAAATCCATCCATAAATTCCAACTGGTCCAAAACTCAGCTGCTCGGATCATTTCCAGAACCCTTCCACCAGTCATAGAACACCTGTCCTGCAGCATCTTCACTGGCTCCATATCAAATTTCACATTTCATGTAAAATCCTGATCATCACCTTAAATATCTACAATAACCTCACCCCCCTGTTACTTCACAGAACTTCTTCACATTAAGACACCTCCTACACTCTCAGGTCCTCCTCCTCCACCCCACGTCTGGATTGCTCTCCCCCTGGACATTAAAAACTCTCCCACCATATCCATTTTTAAAACACAAATTAAAACTTTTTTTAAACAGCATATTCAGTTTAACCCCCATCTCTTCTGTATTATATTTTATTGTCATTTGTTTGTTTTATTCTTTTGCCTTTTTCCTGTATTTTACATTGTATTTCATTGCACAATCTCCTTGAGTGCCATGAAAGGTGCCTTCAAATAAAATGTATTATCATTATTATTATTACTATTATTACCACTATTATTGTTGTGATTTCTCAGCATTTCTTCACTTATCGCTGGTTCTTTCACCAGGGGCCAACAAGGTCCCTCAGGTTTAATCACTTTCTGGTGTTCAGCCAAATACTCATCGAAGCATGTGAGCAG